ATCACCACCTACGAGATATGGACAAGAAGTTAGTTACAATTATGCACTCAAACTGACGTTCTTGAAGTTGCCAAGTCGTTGCGGACACCACGTGAAGTTACTGAATCACAACAACTCACGGTGCCATGTCAACCTGCAGTACGACAAAGTGAAAAGTCACGGCAAAACACATTAATATATCTCAGTATACACCAACCTCATGCTCTCACAAAACCATCACGTACTTACCGCAAATTGTTGGGTCACGTAATCATCAATGCATTATGAGTATCACACCAGTAAAACACATCAAAGAGAATGCCACAAGAGGGAGTTGCATAAAGTGTTTCAGACGATGTCTCTTAACTCATCTAGAGGATACTTCAGATTACCGGTGTTGATCACGAGTCAGAACTTGAGAGATCTGTTGAATTGTGGTCGGCATCAAAAGATATGTCTTCCTGCTATATGCATGATGTGAATTGGATCAACAGCCATGCTACATACACTTTCAGCAAAAGATAATTCGTAAAAAAACGTCATACCAATGCATACCTTGCCTCATAATACATGCGCAGAATTTTAAGCGGCTACCGCATAAAGCAGTGAGCATCAGCTGGCCTCCGAGCTATGTCACACACAACTTTCTTTCTGTCAGATACTGCAGCAACGACATAACATATGATTCGCATTCCGAGTGACCGCCGATTGCGAGCGTATGCACTACGACCTGCACGAAATCAAGCCGCGACATGAGATACCACAAATAAAATCAAAATGTAAGGAAAAGCTGTGAAAAAAGAATGCACAATAAAAAAACTGCAAAAGCCTTTCACTCTGTCGCACCTCGAAAAATCACGGAGACATTTCGGAGAAACGACCCTCGCGCGAAAGGCGCAGAATGTGGTTCGACAGAGTCGCCACCGAACTTTATTTTTCCCCAAATAAACGGGAGAGGAAAATATCGAGAAAACCTCTTAAAAACGAAAAGGATAGGAACAGGGTTGTCGCAACCATGTTCCGGGTTCGGGAGTCGGTTACATGAGGGGAAGGTATTAGCACCCCTCACGTCCGTCGTACTCGACGGGAACCTCTTAAGGTAAATGTGGGGAGTGTTGTTTAGGTTTACTTGTTTTCTTCTCGTTGTTAAAGGTAGAATTGGTAGGGTAAAAAGGTTAAAGACGCAAAGGAGAGATGGGTGATTAGAAGATAGGGTGCTCGCCAAGGATTGGGACCCTTGTGCCTACGTATGCTCATTCGGACGAGAATGAGAAATCAGAGCGTCGTAGTTCGACTATGGGGAAAGGATAGAGGAAATGGAAAATGGAGGGAAATGTGCTCTCCAAGATCATCGCAATCTTGTGCCTACGTATCTTACATTCGGACGAGAATGAAGAATCAGAGCAGTCGTAGTTCGTGGTAACAACCATGAAAAGACGAGGTTTAAAAGGATTGAAGTTTGAGTCTGAGACGAAAGAGTGACTGACAAGCAACCCAAGAGCGTGCCTCGAGAGCTTGTCACTCAAGAATTCAAAGAATGCGAGATTCCAAGAACTCAGTTCTTTCGGGAATTGACTGAATAAGTTGAAGATAAAGAGTTGGATGTTTTGAAATTGAAAGAATGAACTAATAACAACTCAAAGGCGCGCCTCGAGAGTTACTCATTCGAATATTCAAAGAATGCTAGATTCTATGAATATTCCTCTTTTGTAAGTTTAAAAAACGTTTGTGAAAATATCGAATCGAAAAAATGGCATGCGAGGCCAAAAGGAAGTTGGTTTGGAAACGGCTCGACGACGTATCGAGGATTTGTTTGAAAATGGGACCGACTTGACGACGTGTCAAGGGTTAAGATTGTGAGAAACGATATTAGTCCTTAAGGGTGCCCCTAATATCGAAACCACGAGGAATTGTGAAGTGTGTGCGAAATGTCGATGGTCGCGAGTGCGTGTGAACACTCGACTTAGGATATGTTTGAAAATGTTTGAGTTTGAAAAAGTCAAAAGGTTGAGTGAATAACAACTCAAAGGGCGTGCCTCGAGAATTATTCACTCGAAAATTCAAGGAATGCTAGATTCCAAGAATCTCCTTCTTTCGGAGTTTTAATCGAGAAAGAAGACGTTTTGAAAATAATTTGAAACGAAATGGGGTATGAAAATAATTTGTGAATGTACGAGATAAGGATATGAATTTGAATTTGGAAATGAGAATTATTTAGTAAATGAGACGTCGGTCTCACAACCAATTAACTGGGGTGTTATCGAAATGCTAGATCTCGACAACGCCTTTTTTCATTTGGAAAATGTTTGAATGAACGACAGAAATATCACACAGAATGCTTGATTCCTATGATATTTCTTTGTTCAAAAAGAGTGTGTTTTAAAAAACGAAAAGGTTGGATAATACATTATTTAAGGTGTACACCATGCTAATGATCATCAGAAAATCCAAAAAGTGCAAGACTTCAAAGATTTAATTTGTTTCGTGATTTGATAAAAATAAGTTGGATAAAGATTAGAAAAATTATTGGTTTTGAGGATGGTTTTGATTTAATTTAGTAAATATTGTTTGAATAAACAATGAAAATATCACACGGAGTGCTAGACTCCTATGATATATTTTTGTTCAAATAATTAAGAGCATAACGAAAAACGAACAATATTATCCAAGGCGTACGCCCCAATAATAATTACTCAAAAATCCAAGAGGTGCTAGACCTTAAGAGTTTAATTTTCGTGATTTAATTAGAAAATGATTTGTGTTAAAAGATAAGTTGAATAAAGATTATAAAAACTACTAATTTTGAAAATGATTTAATTACTCAAATTCGAAAAAGAAGATTTTTTTAAAAAAAAGCTCTAGACATTTGTTTAGAAAATTGTCTTGAAAATGGACTATTTAAATATTTGAATAAAAGATTTTAATGTTGAAATAAATAAATTGATTTAAGATTGTCTAGAATTTGCTTAGAAAATAATCTTTGAAATGTCTAACAAGAATAAAAAATAAACTATTTATTTATTTAAAACCATTAAAGATAAATACTTGGTCATTAGTAAAATAACAAATAGAAATGATAGAATTTCTAAAAACTAATTAGAGTTACAAAAAAAAATTTGATTAAACTATTCTAATATTAAATCATTGTAATTAAGAAATTCAAGCTGGATATCAAAGCAACTAATGTAAAAAGCCATATTTAGCAGCGAGAAAATAATATAATATTGTTACCTGATAACTCCGAATCATGGTCGAACAAGCACATCCATAGAAAAATAACATTCAACACAGTTAACAGGATATGAAATCAAACTTACGAAACCAGCAGCAAAAACCGTTTTGGGTACATGATGTGCAACCAATATCATAGAATGAGTTGAGACAAAACCAGATCAATATTTACGATTTAACACAACGTAACAATCTTAATTAAAACAGCTTTAATTACGACACAACAAAGTGACGTTGGATATGTTATCGACAATGAGAAGAACATCAGCAAAAATCAAACATAGGCAGAAACATAAAAAAAACCAACCAAAGGACAAACGAAGCTGCTGAGCTGCCCTCAAAATTGATTTTTACTAAGTTATCATTGCTCCCGGCGATGTTAGTATTGCGGATACCGACAAAACAAAATCCTGCACTCAAAATGGTAAAACCAAATCCATCTGTTATCCAACCTAAACCTGTAGCAGCAGCAGGTAGAGTAATTGCAACATCAACAGCTAGCGCGTAGTCGTTTTCGACATTGCAGTGGAGTCGAAACCATGTTGTCAAAATCATCAGGTCTGCAGTGTTTTAGCGAGCGTGGCAGTGTGCTTAAACGTAAACGTGAACGGGATTCATGATCTGCACGAAAAATTAAACGAAACAGCAGGCAAGACAAACACCGAAACTATAAAACATAATTGAGTCGGAAATTCCGTTTGAGTAGCCGTCTATTCGATTCGAACTGCATCATTGAGACTATGATGAATCACTGCCTTGAGCTATTACGGCGACGTCGCAACCGTATTGGTGTTGCCTGTGGAATGAACCTACTGTCGGAGAAAAGATCATAACATTGCTGCTTGATTGCGTTTAAGGACATCTTTTCTTGAAGGTCGAAGAACCAATGGCCACGTCTTCAACATGGAGCTGTTGCGGAGAGAACTAAATTGAGCCTGGATCTTGGATTAGAGTCCGAACCGAAATGTTCAATCTTTCGTTATTTGGAAGTATTGCCGCAGATTAGAGCCTGTGCTGTTGTCGTGCGGCTAAGGGAAGTCGTACGAGAGCCGGAGATGTCATGCTGCTGTTATTCTACAATCGCTCAAAGTTCACAATGCAGTATCTCTTCACCAATGTCTCCATGGTGCCCTGACCATTACATAAATTTGATTCACTGTTGCAGAAGATGGAGTCTAGGAACGTTGTGCCGACATTGAATCAATACCAAAGCCACTAATCAATTCTCCACCTGCATTCAAATGAAACCATACCAAAACAGGACAGCAAACAAATACAGGAATTTGTAGAGGGATAAAATACATAGCTGAGTTAGAGATGCGACGTTTACCATATTCGTAACCCCAACAGCTTGTCACAATTTTGTCTCAAAACGTGACTTACAATGTGATGAGGATGATCGAGGAATGCGTTAAAGTCTTGCGGTGTTACGGTTGTTCTCGTCTTCCTCGGCATCGAGACAAACTTCTGACCACACACGAAAACTCACACTCGAACCCGCCTACTGCTATTGTGAAATCCTTTTTTTTAATAACTTTGGAAGGTCAAGATTGATGACGTGTGACACTCCTGTGACATCCAATCCCCGTGATGCAACGTCAGTAGCAACCAAAATGCTGGTGGAGCTGCTCCGAAAATTTTGTAATGCAGCCTCTCTTTCATTCTGACTGCGACCACCATGCAGTGAAACTGCAGATAATCCTTGAGCGACCAATGCTTCAGCCACTTCATCGCACCTTGTCTTTCTCTCAACAAACACAATAGTCAATGGAAATGGATGACCACACTTTTCAGCTTGTGATGCCTCTTTTTTTTTCCACCTTAACTTGAACTGGGCTAGCTAAGTACTCCTTCGCTAATGCTTCGATCTCCACAGGCATCATTGTACTAAACAGCAGTGTTTGATGCTTCTCAGGAAGACTTCTCATGATCTTCCTTATTTGTGGTTCAAACCCCATATCAAACATTCTATCTGCCTCGTCTAGAACAACATAAGGAATTCTAGAGAAAGAAGTGTTACCTTGTTGTAAGTGGTCAATAAATCTTCTAGGGGTGGCAACTGCTATTTCAACTCCTGCTCTTAGTTCAGACCCCTGCTTTTCAATGTTAGTTCCACCAACAACTATGGCAGTTTTTAATGACTCGAGAGATTTGCTAAATGCTTGGACCTCTTTTTCTATTTGTTGAGCAAGTTCTCTAGTAGGAGCCAAAACTAATGCCAGAGGACCATCTCCACGTCGAATTGGAGGTTGGACCAAGCAATGCTGTATCATAGGAATGGTGAAAGCTGCGGTCTTCCCACTACCAGTTTCAGCACAACCCAAAAGATCCCTTCCACTGAGAGCAATAGTCATGGCCTGTGCCTGGATAGAGGTTGGCCTGGTGTATTCATGATAAGCAATATCCTTCATGATACTTGGATGCAAACACATATCATTAAATGATTCTATAGGTCCAGGTGCGGCAGGAGAGTCAGATGAAACAGTAACATCAAGATTAAGCCGTAGGCGGACCTCTTCAATCTGGTCGGGGTTCATGCGGGAAACGCGTTCAGAAGGTTGCCAGTTAGGGAAGACAGTGTCAGGGACGGTGATAATCCGAGATGGCGGAGGTGCGGCGGAGGTACGGCGAAAGCCATTGGATAGAGAATTAGATTTGGAGTGAGAGTATGAGGAAGAGAATGTGAGGTTGGTGTTGTGGTGGTGGTGGTGACTGTCTAGGGTTCCAGATGATGATGAAGGTCTGGCGGTGGCTGTGGTGGTGGTAGCCACCGCGGTTGAGCCGGCGTTTCTCAAGTGTGGAGGAACATACGACATCGTTTTGATATTTCTAGCTCTGGAGGTTGTTTTCAGAGTAGTAAGAGAAAAATAACAAGGGTTACTGAGTGAGTGAGTGAGGTAGGTGAGATGGGTTAGCGACCATTTTTGCGTTTTGATGGGAGAAACAAAGAAGATTCGGTGAAAATGGTGATGAAGAAGGATGGTGAATAGAGGAGTTTGTGAGGGTTTGAAGGATGAAGATTGAGGTGATGATGATGGTGACTTAGGGTTCGTTTAATGACGAAGGTGAGTGGTGACGGATGAAGGCGGGGTTAGGGTTTGGGAAGGTTGCGGCGGATTTGGGTTTTAGGATAATGAACAGTATTTTAGGGTTTTGCGTTTGGGTTCATGCGGCTAGGTTTCCAAAAATTCCTCCAGATGAACAGTAAATGGATCCTTATTTATACCAATTGTAACCCTAATTTTCTCAATTTTCCATTATTCCCACCGTGTCCTTCTCATTCACTTTCTTTTTTTCTATTTTTCTTTTACATATTAATTAAAAACCAAAAACTATTAATGTAAGTAATATCAACATTACTAATTCATTAACAAATATTAACAAATATTAACTAAATAAATATCAACAAACTAAAAAATAAAAACAGTATTAATTACTTAAAAATATTATTAGTAACATTTGAGAAAAAAAGAAAAAGTTTAAGAAACTAAGAAAAAATTATTATTCACAAAATGTCTTTAGGCCACATGTCACACTTTAATTGGTCAAAAAGATAAAGTTCTAAAAAATCAATCAATTGCGAGCGGACACGTGTCTAAATAACAAGAAAATAAGCGGGCAATGTAAAACATGAAAGAATAATAAAAAACGAAAATACTTGAAAATGGGTAGGACAAATTTAGGGTATGACAGATGCCCCTATCTAATTGGCTTAAACCTAGGAAAATGAACTGCATTGGCGTTCACATTCCTGAGGTAGAAGTCAATTAGATATAAAAAGACCCTGAATTTGTCCGAAAGAAAGAGAAATGCCTGAGGGTTGAAAATGCTGGATGAGATAAACCTCCGAGTAAACTGTAAATAATAGGCAAAAAGTCATCATCATCAAAGGGATGATGGAAAGAAAAGAACACGGCTACTACCATCAAAAGGATGATAGGACAAACACCATCGCACAATCTGACATCGACGAAATGCCAGACCCACCACCAAAAGGATGACGGAGCGAAACTGACACCAGCCACTACCACCAAAAGGATGATAGGACAAACACCATCGCACAATCTGACATCGACGAAATTCCAGACCCACCACCAAAAGGATGACGGAGCTAAACACAACATACATCGCACAATCTGACATCGATGAAATGCCAGACCCATCACCAAAAGGATGATGGAGCGAAACTCACACCAGCCACTACCACCAAAAGGATGATAGGGCAAACACAATCGCATAATCTGACATCGACGAAATGCCAGACCCACCACCAAAAGGATGATGGAGCGAAACACAAACAAAATATCGCACAATCTGACATCGACGAAATGCCAGACCCACCACCAAAAGGATGACGGAGCGAAACACAAACAAAATATCGCACAATCTGACATCGACGAAATGCCATACCCACCACCAAAAGGATGATAGAGTGAAACACAAACAAAATATCGCACAATCTGACATCGAAAAAATGCCAGACCCACCACCAAAAGGATGATGGAGCGAAACACAAACAAAATATCGCACAATCTGACATCGACGAAATGCCAGACCCACCACCAAAAGGATGATGGAGCGAAACACAAACAAAATATCGCACAATCTGACATCGACGAAATGCCAGACCCACCACCAAAAGGATGATGGAGCGAAACACAAACAAAATATCGCACAATCTGACATCGACGAAATGCCAGACCCACCACCAAAAGGATGATGGAGCGAAACACAAACAAAATATCGCACAATCTGACATCGACGAAATGCCAGACCCACCACCAAAAGGATGACGGAGCGAAACACAAACAAAATATCGCACAATCTGACATCGACGAAATGCCAGACCCACCACCAAAAGGATGATGGAGCGAAACACAAACAAAATATCGCACAATCTGACATCGACGAAATGCCAGACCCACCACCAAAAGGATGACGGAGCGAAACTCACACCAGTCACTACCACCAAAAGGATGATAGGACAAACACAAATAGAAGGTTACCAACATCGAAAGGATGCAGGCTATGTTGAACCGACGAAGTTCAGCTATCACCAAAAGGATGATAGTAAGGTAATTGACAATGGTCACGCTTGCTGGGTACAACTCATTGGGGAACCCCCGAGAGGAAGATTGGATTGAAATGAATCAACGGGGTACGCCCACCGTCTTGTTTGGAGATCATCGTTTTGCTGAAATGATTTCATAGTTACGCCCATGAATTCTGAAGAGGATGCCCCTGACTGGGATGAGTTTGTCTTGATGTCTTGTTTTGCTCAACAAAAGGTTGAACAACTGCATGAGGAACGCTCATGGTCTTGCTGAAGATGCCCCTACTCGGGTTGGATCTTGCACTGAACTTCTTGGATTTGCCCAACAAAAGTTCGAACAACTTAGTGGGAATGCCCACGGTCTTGAACGGTATGCCCCTGACTAGGCTGAATGTTGACTTGCATATCTGATCAACCACGAGGTTGAAATACGTCGTGGGAGACGCCTATGGTTTTGAAAAAGATGCCGCTGGCTGGGCTGAATCTTGCTTTGAATACTTTGAAATTTGATGGGAGAAACCCGCAATTGGAGAAGATTGCCCCTGACTGGGCTGATGATTGCCTTGAAGCTCTTGAAAATCGTGGGATAAACCCACCATCTTGCGGAAGATGCCCCTGACTGGGCTGGTGACAGTCTTGGAGGTCTTCGAGATTGATCCTGGACCTTGACTCGCATATGCGAATGCTGAATGATAATGATGTTCCATAACGAATGGAAGTGCAAATGCAAATGCTGACGCGCGGAGATGCAAGAGCCGAGGAAGTATGATATGATTTGAGTATGCATATGATGCAAGATGCTTATGATAGTGAATGTAATGCGTATGATGCACATGATGCAGACGGGTAATTTGCAGGTGAAGGCGTCAGCATGGTGGATTTTTGGTAATTGCCAATGCGGATTGGTTTTAGGGTGGTGGGAGGGATTGACTTCCTCGACACGCTGTTCGTTGAAGACGTCACGATTGACACGGGCGAAGATACTCTATATGCCCCGAGTCTGGGTACTTTATGGTATACTGTGAATTTGCTTCAGAGGAGGTTGCAGCTCTGCCTGATGATTAGGGTAACTTGGTCTTGCCCCAGTCTGAATATGGTAATGATATGCCCCTGCTCGAGCTGTTGAATGATTTGCCCCAGCCTATGGGCTTTGAAATAATCTTGCTTCGTGTACGCCACTGAAAGTCAAGTTCCTCCTCGGTTGCCCCTTGTTGAGATGTCCTTGAATACCTAGCACTGATTTGCAATTAAAATTGTACATTCATAAATGGTAATATTAATGCAAAGTTCAATGTAAGTTTTGAAAAAGTGTGTCATTTATTGAGAGTGTCGTGGTAGTGAGACGAGTGAACTGTTAGTCCAAACATTGTGCTAATTTTGGTTGGTGCGTGAGATATAGCAAGGATAATGACACCAATGCTGATGATTAGAAATCATGTGAGGAGTCAGGTTACGCAACCTTGCGACAATATGCTTTCAGAATAAACCTCGCCTCAATTAGGTCTTTTGAGGGTTATAACGTGGTCTGGTTCACGGTTATGAAACAAAGGTTATTAGGCTCAAAGTATGATTTGTACCCACCCCTTCTTCTTAATGATCTCCAGTCCTATGCTCAGTTAATTCTACACTTGTCTGGACGGTGTAAGCTTGATGGTTCAAGGTTTGCTCGACGTGGCAGTCACCTTATTTTGGTTCTTGATGGATGTTAGTGCCCCTTTGATCTGGGTGGCCACCGAATCCTTTTTTTGTTTTTGTTGAGGGTTTCGGGGTCCTCTTTTGCTTTTGTTTTTGATCCCTAACTTTTGCATGGATTGATTTTGTTTGTCAAATCCATCGGGATTGCCTTGATTTTGTCTAAGTCCCCTCTGAGGTGTTTGACTTAGCAGGCTTTTGATTTTTTTCCTTTTTTTTTGTGACTGTCATAGCATGGGTCTTTGATGAACCACTGTCTTCGGGATTTTGCTTTGTTGATTCGAGTGCGGGATTAGATTAGCTGGGCACTACCCTGCCCCAAGTTAAGTGTAAGGTTTGAATATCCGAAGGAAACTGCTACTTCTAGGCTCGAAGTGGTTTACTAGGGATTAACTCCTTATATCTCCGGTGTATGGGTAATTGAAGCAATGCCTGTACATCATTGACGAGATTCTATCTGAAAGCATATGAGTTCGCAATTATGGGTATCTCGTTTTCATCATCCTCCATCAAATCATGCTAAACAACAGTGAATGGAATGGAGTGAATAAACGTGCCGGTGATAAGTGGAAAATGAGTGAAAATGACATAACTAATTCAAAACATGCATAAACGATACATTAATGAAAACCAAATACGAAATGGCAATTGTTCAAAGCATACAGTACTTAAACACACAAAGACAAAATATAAGAAATGCGAATGATTAAATGGCGGCATGACGGCCTTCTTCAGAGAATGGACTTGACTGAACTTGATATGATGCTAGCACTAGTTGGCTGGCGGCATCGGGTTGTTGATGGCACTGAGATACTTCCCATCAAAGGTGAGAGCTTCCTTGTCAATCAGGTCTTGAATTTTGTGCTTGAGAAACCTGCAATTCTCGATGTTGTGACCTGGAGCGCCCTTATGAAACTCACAATGGGCATTCGCGTCGTAATCAGCAGGAAGGACAGTTGGGGGAGCTAGATCTCTCGGAACGATAGCCTTTTTCTCCATCAGTTGAGCAAAGATATCTGCATATGTCATTGGAAGACTATCAAATACTCTGCCTGGCTTCCATGTTCTGTGTTGATTTTGCTGATGCGGTCGTTGAACGGTTCGCTGTTCTGATTCCTTTCCAGTTATGGAGAGGGCTTTGAAGATCTGATCCATCTTTCTGTTTAGGGATTCCAGCTCCTTCCTGATAGCAACTTGTTCTTGCCGAATCTGCTTCATCGTTCGTCTTGTATTGGCTCTAGTTGTGTACCGGTGTCGAGGAATCAACTTGATTTATTGGAGAAGAAGGAACGGAGACATGAGATTCTGCTGAAGGATTGGAAATGCAAAAATGCAATGCAAATGATATGCAAGATGCAATGCAAGATACAAGATCCAGGATCCCAAGATCATAGTTCGAACAGCTCCTGAAGCTGGTAACTGTGATAGATAAGTAACCATAATTCCTGCTCAAAGAAAAAATGACAGGTACGACCTATGCGGGAAGATCTAAACATTCTACCCATAAACCCACTTACGGGATGGTTTCTACGTTTGGTTCCCAAGATCACGGACACTAGTCGTATTAGCGTCACGCAACAGGCTGGCTGTATTACGACGATAATGACGATAAGGTCTCTCCTGAGCGGAGTCCTCATGCTAGGCTCACAAGGAGCGAGTCCTTGGAGACTAACACTACACGACCACCATTATTGGAACTGGTGCTAAAAAGGGTTCGCAGAATCATGGACCCTTCATGAATCAAATTGTGCAACAGGCTAGCTGTGTTACAACGAGATCTACGAATAGGTCTCCTCTAGAGGAGATTTCATGCTAGGCACACAAAGAGCGAATCCTTAGTGACTAACACTACTCGACTACCAATTCTAAACTAAGTGTTCTCTCTGCTTTTACAAAAGCTCGGGCATAGAGCCTTACTCATGATGTCATCCCAAGAGCCGACAGGCCAAGATAACAAGCACAAATAAAATCTACAAGAGAACAAATACATAAACGAAAAGGAAAGCAAACAAACACTCCTCACAAACCAAAAGATAGGCTCAACTCTCTCTTTGCAAGGAGCAAAACGTCCTCAGCAGAGTCGCCACCTGTCGCACCTCGAAAAATCACGGAGACATTTCGAAGAAACGACCCTCGCGCGAAAGGCGCGGAAATGCGGTTCGACATAGTCGCCACCGAACTTTATTTTTCCCCAAATAAACGGGAGAGGAAAATATCGAGAAAACCTCTTAAAAACGAAAAGGATAGGAACAGGGCTATCGCAACCATGTTCCGGGCTCGGGAGTCGGTTACGTGAGGGGAAGGTATTAGCACCCCTCACGTCCGTCGTACTCGACGGGAACCTCTTAAGGTAAATGTGGGGAGTGTTGTTTAGGTTTACTTGTTTTCTTCTCGTTGTTAAAGGTAGAATTGGTAGGGTAAAAAGGTTAAAGACGCAAAGGAGAGATGGGTGATTAGAAGATAGGGTGCTCGCCAAGGATTGAGGCCCTTGTGCCTACGTATGCTCATTCGGACGAGAATGAGAAATCAGAGCGTCGTAGTTCGACTACGAGAAAAGGATAGGGGAAATGGAATATGGAGGGAAATGTGCTCGCCAAGATCATCGCAATCTTGTGCCTACGTATCTTACATTCGGACGAGAATGAAGAATCATAGCAGTCGTAGTTCGTGGTAACAACCACGAAAAGACGAGGTTTAAAAGGATTGAAGTTTGAGTCTGACACGAAAGAGTGACTGACAAGCAACCCAAGAGCGTGCCTCGAGAGCTTGTCACTCAAGAATTCAAAGAATGCGAGATTCCAAGAACTCAGTTCTTTCGGGAATTGACTGAATAAGTTGAAGATAAAGAGTTGGATGTTTTGAAATTGAAAGAATGAACTAATAACAACTCAAAGGCGCGCCTCGAGAGTTACTCATTCGAATATTCAAAGAATGCTAGATTCTAAGAATATTCCTCTTTTGTAAGTTTAAAAAACGTTTGTGAAAAGATCGAATCGAAAAAGTGGCATGCGAGGCCAAAAGGAAGTTGGTTTGGAAACGGCTCGACGACGTATCGAGGATTTGTTTGAAAATGGGACCGACTTGACGACGTGTCAAGGGTTAAGATTGTGAGAAACGATATTAGTCCTTAAGGGTGCCCCTAATATCGAAACCACGAGGAATTGTGAAGTGTGTGCGAAATGTCGATGGTCGCGAATGCGTGTGAACACTCGACTTAGGATACGTTTGAAAATGTTTGAGTTTGAAAAAGTCGAAAGGTTGAGTGAATAACAACTCAAAGGGCGTGCCTCGAGAATTATTCACTCAAAAATTCAAGGAATGCTAGATTCCAAGAATCTCCTTCTTTCGGAGTTTTAATCGAGAAAGAAGACGTTTTGAAAATAATTTGAAACGAAATGGGGTATGAAAATAATTTGTGAATGTACGAGATAAGGATATGAATTTGAATTTGGAAATGACAATTATTTAGTAAATGAGACGTCGGTATCACAACCAATTAACTGGGGTGTTATCGAAATGCTAGATCTCGACAATGCCTTTTTTCATTTGGAAAATGTTTGAATGAACGACAAAAATATCACACAGAATGCTTGATTCCTATGATATTTCTTTGTTCAAAAAGAGTGTGTTTTAAAAAACGAAAAGGTTGGATAATACATTATTTAAGGTGTACACCTTGCTAATGATCATCAGAAAATCCAAAAAGTGCTAGACTTCAAAGATTTAATTTGTTTCGTGATTTGATAAAAATAAGTTGGATAAAGATTAGAAAAATTATTGGTTTTGAGGATGGTTTTGATTTAATTTAGTAAATATTGTTTGAATAAACAATGAAAATATCACACGGAGTGCTAGACTCCTATGATATATTTTTGTTCAAATAATTAAGAGCATAACGAAAAACGAACAATATTATCCAAAGCGTACGCCCCAATAATAATTACTCAAAAACCCAAGAGGTGCTAGACCTTAAGAGTTTAATTTTTGTGATTTAATTAGAAAATGATTTGTGTTAAAAAATAAGTTGAATAAAGATTATAAAAACTACTAATTTTGAAAATGATTTAATTACTCAAATTCGAAAAAGAAGATTTTTTTTAAAAAAAGCTCTAGACATTTGTTTAGAAAATTGTCTTGAAAATGGACTATTTAAATATTTGAATAAAAGATTTTAATGTTGAAATAAATAAATTGATTTAAGATTGTCTAGAATTTGCTTAGAAAATAATCTTTGAAATGTCTAACAAGAATAAAAAATAAACTATTTAATTATTTAAAACCATTAAAGATAAATAGAAATGATAGAATTTCTAAAAACTAATTAGAGTTACAAAAAAAATTTGATTAAACTATTCTAATATTAAATCATTGTAATTAAGAAATTCAAGCTGGATATCAAAGCAACTAATGTAAAAAAGCCATATTTAGCAGCGAGAAAATAATATAATATTTTTACCTGATAACTCCGAATCATGGACGAACAAGCACATCCATAGAAAAATAACATTCAACACAGTTAACAGGATATGAAATCAAACTTACGAAACCAGCAGCAAAAACCGTTTTGGGTACATGATGTGCAACCAATATCATAGAATGAGTTGAGACGAAACCAGATCAATATTTACGATTTAACACAACGTAACAATCTTAATTAAAACAGCTTTAATTACGACACAACAAAGCGACGTTGGATATGTTATCGACAATGAGAAGAACATCATCAAAAATCAAACATAGGCAGAAACATAAAAAAAACCAACCAAAGGACAAACGAAGTTGCTGAGCTGCCCTCAAAATTGCTTTTTACTAAGTTATCATTGCTCCCGGCGATGTTAGTATTGCGGATACCGATAAAACAAAATCCTGCACTCAAAATCGTAAAACCAAATCCATCTGTTATCCAACTTAAACCTGTACAAGCAGCAGGTAGAGTAATTGCAACATCAACAGCTAGCGCGTAGTCGTTTTCGACATTGCGGTGGAGTCAAAACCATGTTGTCAAAACCAAGCAATGCTGTATCATAGGAATGGTGAAAGCTGCGGTCTTCCCACTACCAGTTTCAGCATAACCCAAAAGATCCCTTCCACTGAGAGCAATAGTCATGGCCTGTGCCTGGATAGAGGTTGGCCTGGTGTATTCATGATAAGCAATATCCTTCATGATACTTGGATGCAAACACATATCATTAAATGATTCTATAGGTCCAGGTGCGGCAGGAGAGTCAGATGAAACAGTAACATCAAGATTAAGCCGTAGGCGGACCTCTTCAATCTGGTCGGGGTTCATGTGGGAAACGCGTTCAGAAGGTTGCCAGTTAGGGAAGACAGTGTCAGGGACGGTGATAATCCGAGATGGCGGAGGTGCGGCGGAGGTACGGCGAAAGCCATTGGATAGAGAATTAGAGTTGGAGTGAGAGTATGAGGAAAAGAATGTGAGGTTGGTGTTGTGGTGGTGGTGGTGACTGTCTAGGGTTCCAGATGATGATGAAGGTCTGGCGGTGGCTATGGTGGTGGTAGCCACCGCGGTTGAGCCGGCGTTTCTCAAGTGTGGAGGAACATACGACATCGTTTTGATATTTCTAGCTCTGGAGGTTGTTTTCAGAGTAGTAAGAGAAAAATAACAAGGGTTACTGAGTGAGTGAGTGAGGTAGGTGAGATGGGTTAGCGGCCATTTTTGCGTTTTGATGGGAGAAACAAAGAAGATTCGGTGAAAATGGTGATGAAGAAGGACGGTGAATAGAGGAGTTTGTGAGGGTTTGAAGGATGAAGATTTAGGTGATGATGATTGTGACTTAGGGTTCGTTTAATGACGAAGGTGAGTGGTGACGGATGAAGGCGGGGTTAGGGTTTGGGAAGGTTGCGGTGGATTTGGGTTTTAGGATAATGAACAGTGTTTTAGGGTTTTGCGTTTGGGTTCATGCGACTAGGTTTCCAAAAATTCCTCCAGATGAACAGTAAATGGATCCTTATTTATACCAATTGTAACCCTAATTTTCTCAAATTTCCATTATTCCCACCGTGTCCTTCTCATTCACTTTCTATTTTTCTATTTTTCTTTTACATATTAATTAAAAACCAAAAACTATTAATGTAAGTAATATCAACATTACTAATTAATTAACAAATATTAACAAATATTAACTAAATAAATATCAACAAACTAAAAAATAAAAACAGTATTAATTACTTAAAAATATTATTAGTAACATTTGAGAAAAAAAGAAAAAGTTTAAGAAACTAAGAAAAAATTAATATTCACAAAATGTCTTTAGGCCACATGTCACACTTTAATTGGTCAAAAAGATAAAGTTCTAAAAAATCAATCAATTGAGAGCGGACACGTGTCTAAATAACAAGAAAATAAGCGGGCAATGTAAAACATGAAAGAATAATAAAAAACGAAAATACTTGAAAATGGGTAGGACAAATTTAGGGTATGACACACTCCAAGACAAAACCACAACTACAAAAGTTCTCCACACAACACCAAGCCATGCTACAAGACCTGCAGAACAAAAATAAAAGAAAACTGCATCAACTGTGCCATTCTGCACATAACAGCAAAACCTGTAAGACCTGCAACACTGCCAAAAAAAACTACAAAACAACAACAAAACATGATGCATGTTGCAGGTTGAGAGGGAACCATCAGATATAAACTTCTTTTGAAATTGTTTTAAAAAAAGAGAGGATAGAATAGAACCAGATAGGAGAGTTTCATGAAAAAAATAAGAAAAAACCAAAGGCCATCTAATACGACTCCCAACGTATAACAACACACACAACCTACAAGGTTGTACGACAGAGCAGACATCAACATATCGCAAAACGGCAACGCATCAACCACATCCCACCTTTTTTCGAATTCTCTCCTATCCACCTCCTCTCTCAGTATAAAGGATAACCACAACAATAGAACCAAAGGGAACCCTAGCCGCCATCTCTTTCAAAAATCACCCAAACTTCCTTCAACCTTCTCCAACCCGTTCAAAACCAAAACCAAATAAACCGAAACAAGAAAAAACAATCTTCTTCTTCTGAAAACGCCTTAATCTTCAACCCACTTCATTTTCAAACCAAATCGAAACCCCAAATCTCACCCAATTCCGCAACCCACCTTCTTCAATAAATCTCCATCAAATCGTTTTTCAACTTTTCTTTGACACATCCATATCCCTCTCCTCTTTCAAATCACCCTCACCTTTGTTCTTCACAACATCAACCATAAAACCTCTCCTACAATCAGCTTCCCTATTTTTTTCTTCCAAAACCCAAATCAACCTTCAACATCCAAAGCCCATCCGAACCACCACTCCTCCAACCACCGTGAACCCTACACGAAACCCACGACAACTCCTCCTCCATTATCACAACCAACGTGAAACCTTCAGCTTCAACCCGTTTTAAACCAGAAACCTATTTCAGAACAGAACCGAAAAATGAAATCGAGATGAAAGGAGAATGAAATTCATTAAAAATGGACGAAGAGAGAAGGAAACATATTAAAGGTGGCTTTCCGTCTCTGAAGTTCTAGAGGAAAAAGGTGGTTTCTCAGGTTTTTTTTTGAGCTGTTGTTTGACCTTGTTTTGTTTTCTTTAGTGGGCTTCTTGAGGGCTCGATTTGGTGGCACACCTCCCCTGTTTTTATTTCCAGCGTCCTCTTTTGTGGGGATGATGGGCTATTTGGCTCAAATGATTCCCATCACTTGTTATACTCCCCTGTTCCATATGTCTTACCTCCTGGTTTTTTTTAAGAAATGTAAATGTCTTAGTTTTTTAGAAGATTTTCAATATGTTTTCTTTATATAAAGTAACTGTATTATTATATTAGTTTTAATAAAAGAGAAATTATTTTTAGATTGTTAATATATTTTTAAAGATTTAGTTTTTATAATATTTATGTATATAGCTTTAGAACTTTTATTTAGTTTTAATAAGAGTTAAGTTTAACATTTTCATTTTCATTTGAGGATTTTTTTTCATACTTCCTCATTTTGGGTCGATGACGAGATTACCAACGTTTAACCGTCAAATTATTTGCGTGAAACAAAGGATCCGAGACCACTTTCTTTCTCCGATTTTATTTCGATTTTTGGATCAATGAAGTTTTTTTATTCGTAAGCGTCGTGTATCGAAGTTGATAACCTTCTCGATTTCAAATCTATGGTGAATGACCATTGGGGTCGTTTTCCGTACTTTGGGATCGTGATAGGCTACCTTCGATTAATCGGCATTATGTTTGTGTTTAAGACGAGATCCTATTCTTTCGTGTCCCGATTCGATTCACTAAACTAACCAACAACTTTAATTTTCGTTAAATATTATTGTGGATATTATTGTTATATTATCTTGTTATATTCATATTGTCATACTCGTTATTCATTCTTACTCACCCATAATCGAAAACACCTAATAAACTATCGAAATCCTAAAAGGCAAATTGTTGGACTGTTGTATCATTGGTTATTTGCAGGTATCTTATGTCTAAGTCGTGCCCAACTTTGCTCAAGGCGTAGTTTAGGACACAAATGCACACACACGGCTTTCTCTTGGGCTACCTGACAATGAGACACCTTTATTTCGCGCAATCCCGTGTAACTTACATGTACCCCTCTCCCATTCCGATGTATGTTTCGCATTTCTTTGATTATTAGTTTATCTCCTAGGAGCACCCATAGGGACTAGAGCGGATCAAACTATTTTCAAACTAATTCTCGATTCATCGTCGAGCCATTTTCGAACCCTTGTAAGTCGAGTGCTCATACGCATTCGCCATCAAACTATTGCACATAACTCGACCCTTGATGCGTAAGTCAAGTCGGTCTCTTTTTTCAAACCATTTCATTTCCAACACGCTTTGCACGCGATAATGAGTCAAACCCTTGATCCAACATCAAGAGGATTTTCGAAACAAACTATCAATCAATTAACAACTACTCAATTCTTTTCAAGGTGTAAAGAGTAGGTTCAAGTCTTTGATCCTGCTTTTCGTTGTTTATATGCGAGTTATCTTATTCGTGTGTGAGCAATTGATGCCTTTAAATAACATTAACAACTCGACAACGTTTAACCATCCTTAAACTACTCATCCTTCCAAACTCCATTTCAAACTTTAACAACTTTGTTTTTTCACGATGAAAAAGAGAGGGTTCCAAGTCTTTGGTTCGCTCTCCCGACTACTTGGGTCCGAGAAGCCTTTTTAAGCTTCAAGTAGTCGTCATTCAATCAACCTCACCATTCAAACAACCTTCCTTTTCGATGAAAAAGAGAGAGTTCCAAGTCTTTGGTTCGCTCTCCCGATTACTTGAGTCCGAGAAGTATTTCTTAAGCTTCAAGTAATTGTCATCAATTCAACTTCACCCTTTCAAACACAACCTTATATTTCACGATGAAAAAGAAAGAGATCCAAGTCTTTGGTTCGCTCTCCCGATTACTTGGGCCCGAGAAGTCTTTCTTAAGCTTCGAGTACTCGTCATCCGTACCCACTTCAAATCCAGTTCAATCCTATTTCTTTCGTGGTCGTTACCACGACCTACGACTACTCTGATTCTTCATTCATTCTTGAATGTAAGATACGTAGGCACAAGATTGCGATGATCTTGGCGAGCATAATCCCCTTCATCTTCCATTTTCTTCCATCCTTACCTGTATTCGGACTACGACACTCTGATTTCTCATTCTCGTCTGAATGAGCATACGTAGGCACAAGGGCCCCAATCCTTGGCAAGCACCCTATCCTCTAACCATCCCCTTTCCCCTAGCATCTTTAGCCTTTATAGTACCGTTTTAGTATTTAGTATTGAAAAGAGAAGATTAAGTTTAGCTAACATCCATAACAACTCGAATTAAGAGGTTCCCGTCGAGTACGACGGACGTGAGGGGTGCTAATACCTTCCCCTCGCGTAACCGACTCCCGAACCCAGGAATATGGTTGCGACGACCGTGTTCCTTCCGCTTTTATGAGGTTTTCTCGATATTTTCCTCTCCCGTCTATTCGGGAAAAATAAAGTTCGGTGGTGACTCTGTTGAACCACATTTCCGCGCCTTTCGCGCGAGGGTCGTATGTTCGAAATGAATTTTCGAGGTGCGACAGGTGGCGACTCTACTGGGGACCTTTGCTCCATGCAAGAGAGAGTCGAGCCTATTTTAGTTTGAGTTGTTAGCTTTTTGTTTTTATTTTCTTCTCGCTTATTTATTAGTATCCTTGTCTTGGTTACTTGTGCTTGTGGCATTGTGGAGTTGTTCTGCTTATGGTTGCCTTGTGAGATGGCTCTACACCCGAGTCCGAGTATAACCCTAGGATTAGGATGGTGGTTGTGTAGTGGAGACTTGCGTGGAGTCTTTCACGTTGAGTTGAAGCGAAAACCCCGCTTGGAGTAGATTCCTTGGAGATGTTGTTGTTGTGGTGAGTCTTTGCCATAGCAATAACATTTTCGAGCTTGAGTCGTTGATCCCGAGGACCATAAACCGTTTTATCCATGGTGGTTGGTAGTGTTAATTCTTTGTGAATTAATACGAACGCCCCAATCAGATGAGATCCCTTGAACATATTAATTTCTTACAGTAA